GAGCTATTGAAGGATTTTAAGCAACACCGTTGGTTTAGCAGTTAGGCAGCTGCCCCTGGCTGCCCGGTGGAGAAGGGCCAGTGTAGGGGCCCAGGTGACCGGGGCCTGGACTAGGGAGGCCCAGAGGACCCAAGTGAGACTACCATTAAGATTCAGGGTTAGGGGCGCCTGGGTGGCTCAGATGGTTAAGCGTCTGCCTTCGGCTCAGGTCATGATCCCAGGGTCCTGGGATCGAGTCCCGCATCGGGCTCCCTGCTCCTTGGGAGCCTGCTTCTCCCTCTGCCTCTCTCTCTCTCTCTGTCTCTCATGAATAAATAAATAAAATCTTAAAAAAAATGAAAAAAAAAAGATTCAGGGTTAGATTCTACCCTCAGAGACTCTGCTTTTGGATTTTTCCCTGTTTTTTTAAAGAAAGTCATTGCGGAGTATCTCAGACATACACAAAGGTATAAAGAATGCCATCCAGGTGGGGACCCAGACTCAAGACCCAGAACGTTTGCAATCAGCTCGTGCCCTTCAGAGCCTCCCAGCTCCACCAGCCCTCAAGAGAGAGTCACCACTGCCCCGATTTTGTATTCATCTCTCCCCACGTGTTTCTTCCTGCTTTTTACAAATACATGATCTAGTTTTGAATCTTTGCAACTTTATACAAATGGTATCCAACTCTTCTTCTGTAACCTGCTTTTTCTCTCAACATAGTGATTGAACAAAAAGGTTTATGGTTAGAGTTGGAGAAGGATGGGCTCCTTCAAGAGCTATTTAAGTAGTGGCAATAAGAACTGACACCAAGGAGCGCCTGGGTGGCTCAGTCATCAAGCATCTGCCTTCGGCTCAGGTCATGATCCCAGGGTCCTGGGATCAAGCCCTGCATCGGGCTCCCTGCTCCGTGGGAAGCCTGCTTCTCCCTCTCCCACTCCCCCTGCTTGTGTTCCCTCTCTCGCTGTGCCTCTCTCTGTCAAATAAATAAATAAATAAAATCTTAAAAAAAAAAAAAGAACTGACACCAAGCGCCTCCCGGGCCTGCTCTGCCCTCAGGGCAGTATACAACTCACTTCTCACTACAGTGTGATGAGATATTGCTGCACCCTTTTTGCTGGGGAAACTGAGGCACCGCAGCTGTACACGAGGTCACTAGGCGGGTGGAACCCAGCTGTGAGCCCAGCAGATTCCCACTGGACTTGGGGGTGGTCAGATGGGGAGGTGAGGAGACCGCACCCACAGTGCCGCCGTGAAGCCTCTCCTCCTCCACCCTGCCCACCACCCCCAGAGCTGGGCCCTGCACTGTCCCGGGGGCGGGGGGTGAGCTGGGCGCTGAAGTCCGGCACCCTCCTTCTGCTCCCCGAGGGAAAGGAGCAGACCCCACCTGGGACGAGGGGGTTGGGTCCTCCCCACATCCTCCCAGCCTCTGAGCCACCCTCCCTAGGCAGGTCCCTGCTCTCCGGGTCCCTCAGTGAGGTCGCCCCCCCCACCCGCCACCGCGGTCTGACAGCCCGCCGCACCCTCCCAGTCTCTTCATGGCCACCGGAACCTCTTCTACTGGCCCCCCCAGGCAGGCAGGGCAGCCAGCACTCTGCCCACTTGGCAGACTGAGACCCACACTGTGAGGGAAGGACGGAAGAAGGTGAACAGCTTCTGGAACCTGAAGGGCCTGGGCTGGGGCTCCTGAAACTTCAGCTCACCGCCTCAGTTCCCTCATCTGTAAAGTGGGCCTCCTCACCTCCCCCGATTGTCGAGAGGGGTTGTGAAATGTGCGCACAGACTTCCCCCGTGCAGGACCTGGCACGTGGTATGCGACGATGAGGACCAGGGCCACTGTCGCATTCTCGTTACTGAGTGCTAATGAGCCCAGCGCGTTCGCGCTGAGCCGGGCTAGGACCCCGGGCTCTGGCTCGGGGCCCGTACACTCACGCCGAACCCCACCCAGACTCCCAGCGCAACAGTCTGTGGGTTCGGAGCCCACCCCCCTCGCTGCCTCGTTGGGACCTGAGTGGGGGTGACCCCTCCCCCCATCTTGAGCTAGGGGCCCAGTTGGCATCAGCCAGGAGCCCACGCGGCACAGCCTGCGCCTGCAGCAGATGGGAAAGTGGGGGGAGTCATGTTCTTCTGATTCAGACACTGAGGTGGGGAGGGGGCCGCACCCGATCTTCAGAGCCCACCTCCTCCCTGGCCTTCCTGCCGGCAACAGAGCTGGTGGCTCTGACAAAAGAACAGCTTGCACGCCCGCCTCGCTCAGCATGCACGGCTTCTCCTCACCACGGCGTCTGTGTAAATAGCACTAGACGTCCTGTTCCCCCTCTGAGGGAGGAGGACGCTCTGCTCGAGCGCTCTAGAGGTGTCAGCTTTGCCCAGCCCCATTGCTGTCGGAAATTCAAAAAGGCTTCTGCCTCAGTTCCCCCATCTGTGAAATGGGGGCACTAAGAGTACCAAGCAGAATGAGCGGCTGTGGGGATTGGTGAGTAAATACACGTGCAGGGGCAAGGACGGGCCTGGCACCCTGTCTCATTCAGACGTGTGGCCCTCCTGTCAAGCTTGGCCCCGTGGAAAGAGGGAAACTGAGGATAGAGGGTGCCGGAGCCCAGGAGACGCAGCCGTGGCCCTGCTGGCACTGAGACGGGATGCCTCCTATGAGCTAATTGCCTCAGCCCAAGATTTACTGGACGTTCAGCCACTTTAAGTGCGGTGGGTGGCTGGCCCTGACACTCCATGGGCTTTCGTGGCCAAGGGAAGATGCTGGAGGTAGCCAGCTCTTCGTTGGCTGATGTATTCAAGGCTCACAGTTTGCATTCTGTTTTTATTGTCCAGGAGGGCCTGTTACTTCAACCCTTCCATCCTTCCATCTGTCTGGGGATGGACAGAGCTGGACCTGTTGTCCCTGTTTCACAGAAGAGGAAACTGAGGCTTTGTGTTTAGCCAGAGTTAGGATTCGTAGGCACCCAGGGAGGTAGAAGGAGCCCTCCAGATAGGGTATCGGAGGTTAGTGTAACAGGGGTGGGGGCCAGCTGTACAGAGCTGCTCATTAGTCCATGCCCCACCCACCACACTTGGCCTGCACCCCAGTCTGGGGCGCCAAGCAGGCGGTTGCACGGATGGGTGGCTGCGCCCTCTCAGGTGGGATGTGGTGGGGGATAAAGGTGGCCCGCTGTGGGGGCGTCTGGGTGGCTCAGTTGGTTAAACGTCCAACTCTTGGCTTTAGCTCAGGTCGTGATCTCAGAGTCATGAGATCGAGCCCTGCATCAGGCTCTGCGCTCAGCGGGGAGTCTGCTTGAGATTCTCTCTCCCTCTCCCTCTGCCCCTCCTGCTCATGCCCTCTCTCTCTCTCTCTCTCTCTCAGAATAAATAAATAAATGTTAAAAAAAAAAAAAGTGGCCCACTGTGGTCCAGCTTTGGTCCTGGCTTTTGTCCTGCACACCACCATTTAATCCTGACCACAGGTCTGCAAGCTGGGCATTCCAAGCGCTCATTTTGTAGATGAGGAAAAATGACACCAAAGAAGTTAGCCCCCGTGCCCCCACTCCCGAGGTGGGGTGTCAGTCCCTCCAGCTCCCCAGCATGAGGTCATGGCAGCTTCTCTCAGGCGCTGGCCTCCCCGCCCCACCCTCCAGCACTTTGAGGCAGGACACCCATTTATCTGCTCATCACACAGCTAGAAGACACGCACCTCAAGTCGAAGGAATCTGCCCAGTCTCACCCAGCAAATGACCACAGGGCCAGAGCTGGGCCAATGAGGCTCGGGAGGGGTATCCTGTACTTGCTCCAAGCCAAGGGGCCATCCTGCGAGGCACGGGGCACTCAGGAAATGTTAGGTTGTGCTCTTGGTTTTCTGTTTTGCCCTCGGCAGTTACCTTCAGCACTGGGTGCAGGGCCCAACCCATAGTAGGTGCTCCCTCATTATTCCTTGCTCAGTGAAAGTATGGTAAGAATTCAGTGAGCTCAGGCCTGGGGCTAAGCCTGCAGGCAAGGCCCAGGGCTGATTGAGCAGGAGCTGCTTGGGCCCTTGGGGAGTGTGAAGGAAGCCAAGGGGACAGGGAAGGTCCTAGAAGCTCACTGAATTATTAATGTCTGCCAGAGACTACCCCCTCCCAGAGTCTGGACTTGAGGCCTCGCCTGTCTTCTTCCACTCCAGAAGGGCTTCTTCCAGCAGGAGAGGGGGAGGAGAGCCCCCCTCCCTGGGCCCCGGCTCCCATTCTCCTGCCCGCTGGGGTCATAAGGCAGCAAAAGGGAGGCTCTAAAAAATCCTGGGCAGGATGAGGGTGTCAGAAACCAGCTTGGATCACTCTGCCCTGGGCTGTAATTGCAATAACCAGCCTCTGTTCATTGGCATTTACTACTTAGCCATCCCCCAACCCCCCTTCTAAATAGGTACAGTTGTACCCTGTTGCATGTGAGGAAACGGGGGTTCAGAGAAGTGGAGGCATTTGCCCAGGGTCACACAGCAAATTGATTCTGGAGCTGGATTTGAGCCCTGGGTTTTCTGACTAAGGCACACCATTGCAGCCCTATTCCAGAAGCCCCTGGTTTGTGCCTCTGCATCTGCCCAGTGCCCACACAGAGCCTTGCACCATTTTGAGAAACCTGGCGAGCGAATGAGTGAAGACTAAGACAATCCACCCCTTCAAGAACCTGTCAGCATACAGCTTTCGGTTATGAAGGACTCAGCCGTGGCTCTCAACCCTGACTGCAATGTGAGAACCACCCAGGGGAGCTTCTAGAGCTCTCCACCGCCAGCCCCTCCACCTCCACCCCACCACAGGCTGAGATGTTCTTGAGGGTAGACCCAGCCTGCTTTCAGCTTACCATCAGACACCGGCAGTGGAAAGAACCTGCTCTTTCGCTGAACTGTGTTGCCTGAATTTGATATCGCCATCCCCATTTTGCCTTTGGGGAAGCTGAGGCTCACCTGGGGTCACCCGACAGGGGTGGTGGGCATCTCTGAGCCCTGTGTCTCTTTCCTTCTGCCCTCCAAGTGACCTCACATGCCCTTTCTTCTGCCCCGTAAGCAGCAGGAGCTCCCAGCCCATGTGAACTTCTCAGCGGCCCCAGCCCCTGTGCCCGCGGTGCCCACAGCCCTGCACTCCAAGATGGACGAACTAGAGGGGCAGCTGCTGGCCAAGGTGCTGGCCCTGGAGAAGGAGCGCGTGGCTCTCAGTCACAACAGCCAGCGGCAGCGGCAGGAGGTGGAGAAGGAGCTGGATGCGCTGCAGGACCGCGTGGCTGGACTGGAACATGGTGGGTCCAGGGCCCAGCAGAGGGCATGGCAGGCGGGGCCTTGGTTCCCAGATGGGTCCTCAAGGAGGCAGATTCACTTGAAAACATTTTTGTGCTCTCCAGAGGCTAAAGCTAGATGGGACAGTAGGGAGGAGGCTGCGAAACCCAAGGAGAGAATAATTGGGGAATATCATTATTTTTCTTAACAGTTAGCATTTTCTGGCCCTTACGTTCTGGGAGTGGGCTAAGGACTTGACGTGTCCGCTGGTTTAATCTTCACAAACCACACGGGGGTGGTACTGTTCGTCCCATTTCACAGATGAGGACGCTGAGGCTCAGAGAGGTCAAGCGACTGAGGCCCAGCGTCACACAGCCAGCGAGTAGTGGATCTGGACCTCAAACCAGGTCTGAGGTTTGGACTTTTCCAAAGTCCATGCATTTAACCACCCCACAGAAATCGCACCTTCTGTGAATCAGAATTTTGCTCCTTGCTTAGCAACTGGGCCTGGCAGTGCCAGGAGTCAGAGAAACGTGCTGTCATGGACAGTGCTCAGGTCTGAGCATCAGGAGCCCTGGCTCCTGGCTCCACAGCTGTCACTGGCTTGCTTTTTGCAGTTTTGCTTCCTTTCCCTAGGCCTCGTTTTTCTCATCTGAAATGTGGGGATCTAGGACTCCTGAGCTCTCAGGGACCTTTCCTCTTTGAAACCTTGTGAGGACCACCCTTAAGAGGCTTACAGACAAGTTAGGGATACCAAGGGGAAATCATGAGCAATGATTGGGGACTGGCTTAGATGTGGGACGTGAGTTCAGGAGAAGGAAATCCAAGAGGCTTCCTGAAGGAGACGAGCCTCAGGCTGGTCTTTGAAGGCAGAGGGAGAGAGTCAGTTTTGGAGTGGAGGGGCCAGAGCAGGGGCAAGGCAGAAGGCGAGGCACGACCCAGTGGGTTTCAGGGCTCGCATCCTGGCTGGAGCACAAAGACAAGAAAGGCAAACTCATCCCTCCTCAGTCCTGCCGCTGGCCCCCTGTACTGCATATTCTAAGGGATTGAGGGACACACCCCTCCAGAAGCTGCAGAGCAGAGAGGAGGCAGACAGCTAGGCTGGATGTCTGTGTGCCTGTGAGCAAGTTGTGTCCCTTCTTGGAACTCAACTTCCTCATCTATGAAAGGGGTTTCAAGGGGCACTGAGTCCCTTCCTCTCTTACCATGTTGCATCAGCACATCAGCCTTCACCCCAAGCCTCAAGCCGACCTGGGAACCCAGGTCCACCATTTCCAGCCCCAACCCCCTAACCCCAGCCCTCAACAAGCAGCTAGAGAAGGGGACCTCCTACCCTAGAGGTGGGTGTGGTAGGTGTTACCCCCTGGCCTTGGAAGAGGTGACTCTCTAGTCTACCCCTGCAGAAAGCCCTCTGATACTCAAGACATAGCATCCCTGAAACTCTGCACGGGAAGGCACCCTGGACACCAAGGAGTCCCAAGATGATCTTGTTCGGATGGCACCTCTGCCGCTGACCAGCTGCGTGACCTTGAGAATATGACTTAATCTCTGCACCAAGGCTTCCTCATCTGTGAAATGGGGATTATAATAGTGGTTACCTCATGGGGTTGTCACAAGAATGATGTGAAAGCATTTAGAACAGTGCCTGCCAGGTAGAAGGTTCTGTGTAGTGCTATTACATAAATAGGCAAAGAGCTCAGAAAAATGATCATTGCCACAGCTCAGGTGTGTTGAGCATTTATTATAGGCCAGGCCCTTTATGTAGTTTGTCCCGCTCGGCCCTCACACAAGCCTGGGAGGGAGGAAATCTTATTTATGTCATTTAACTGAGCAAACCCGGGCTGGAGAGGTGACGTTGAACTTGTGGGATGTCACATGGCTGGAAAGTGTGGAGGCAGGATTTGAACTCAGGACATCTCAGGTCCAGAGCCCTTGTGCTTTAACCACACCCGTCAACACAGAGGCAGAGTAGAGAGGTCCATGAAGGCACCTGGCACATGAGAGATGCCCAGGGACTAGGAGCCCTCATCCTAGAGTCTGCCCTGCCCCCCATCAGTGTCCACTGACCCCCACCATGTCCACCTTGCCCACCCCGCTCAGGGTCCTCAGCCTACAGCCCTCCAGATGCCTTCAAGATCAGCATCCCCATCCGCAACAACTACATGTATGCCCGTGTGCGGAAGGCACTGCCTGAGCTCTACGCCTTCACCGTCTGCATGTGGCTGCGCTCCAGGTCGGGTGGCAGTGGCCAGGGCACGCCCTTCTCCTACTCGGTGCCCGGGCAGGCCAATGAGATTGTGCTGCTGGAGGCGGGCCACGACCCCATGGAACTGCTGATCAATGACAAGGTGAGTGGGGGCTGGGCGGAGTGGGAAGAAAGTGGGGGGCGGAGTTACCCTTCCAGGAGCACCTGCACTGGGCTAGGTCCCAAGCATGTGGGCCCTTTCCATTCCCCTGCTCGGCAGCTTCAGCACACAGGAAATGCCTACTGGGTGGCAGGCTGGGTTCTGGGGATACAAAGACAAGCCAGACCTGGGGCTGGCTGAAGAAGGGCTTGTATCCAAGAGAGGCTGTCAGTGATGGCGTTTCCATTTACAGAGGAGGCCCGTGGGGCTTCCCCAGTGACCCAGCTGCGGGAGCAGGGCTGAAAGGGTCTGTCCCAGGGCCCTGCTCATTCTCCTGGACGAGACGAGAAGCAAATGAGGCCCAGGGACCTACCTAGGGAAGGGAGTGCTGGCGGACTCCTCGCCCCCCCTCCTCCCCTGCGGCCAGCCCCTCCGCCCCTCCCCTCTCCTGGAGAGTAGACTGGTGCCCTTGTTCTGCCCTTGGGCCACCCATCTTCCCCATGCCTGGGCCGCCCAGCCCCCACTCACCTTGTCATTGGTGACATCCGGACAAGGACACGGGGGAGTGGTGTGGGAGTGGCATGTGGCATCTTATCATCCTCATTCACCCCAGTGTCCTCCTCTACCTGCCATATTGCTTTGGGATTTGCAGGCATGGTGGTCTTTTGAGACACCCCCCCCGGAGATGCAGACACCATGTATCACACCCACCTATGACCCCCCCACAGCCACTTAGAGCTGCCGGGAAGTGGCTGTCACCCATCAGAAGCCAGCTCAGCAGGAGGTGTCTTTCATGGGTGTCCTGGAGGAGGAGGAGGAGGAGGAGGAGGAGGAAGGAGATGGGGCCAGGGGGCAGTGAGTTTCTCTTGTAGCCCAGTAGGTCCTAAGAAGACTGGGGTAGCTGGAGTACATCTAGATCCTGCTGCCATGTCCCCTTCACACACACCCTGGCTGCCATCCTTGGCCCTGCCCAAGCTCAGCACTCTGCTCTCAGGGGAAAGGATTCAGCACCCTGGACAGGGCACAGCACGGCCCTATTCCGGGAACTCTAGCGTCTTTTTAAACGTCAGCCTCACAGGTTACTCAGTTCCCCTTTTATTCCAGCCTCTTAGCCTTTGCTCCTGCTGTGCCCCCACCTTGCTTTGACTTGCAGTGGAACAGTCAGATCCATTGTCCTTCCAGAGGTGTTTGAATACCATGTCTGCTGTCCCACACCTGCCTCTTCCTCTGGACCTCCCAAATGGCCCCTGTTATTTTGCCTTATAATATTGTCCCTGAAGTTCTTCCCTCCCCTGCAGACTCAGCTCATTTATAGCTAGGACCAGATCCACATCCCCAGTGTCCAGAACAAGCCTGGCACTAAGTGGGCCTCAGAGAATATGTATTAAAGCGTGATCTCACAGAACTCTGGAGATGAAAGAGCCCTTCGGGAGTCCCAAATCCACAGGCAGCAAGTACATTTCATCTCACAGGCCAATGCTAATCAATCACCAGCGGCTTCCCAGAGCACTGTTTTAGGAAAGATCCTGGGGCTGAGCCTGGGTTCACGATTGATTAGCCATGTCCGCCTTGGGTAGACGAGGCAGAGGTGGCTACATATTTGCCATCCTTTGCCTGACCATTAGCATCCTTTGCATGAGGAACTGAGGCCCAGGGAGGACAGAGCAGCTTCCCCAAGGTCCCACAGGAAGTTGGTTGGCAGAGCCAGGGCTGGATGCCAGTGCCCAGCCTCTGAGTCCAAGGCTGCTCGTACTCCTTGAGCCCAACCGTGTGCCAGGCGCTGTGTGAGGTGTTCAGAGGCTGTGAAATGTGGCTCCCACACCACATGACCTTACAGGCCTGTGAGGGGGTGAATAAGGAACCTGGAAACACCCGAAAACCAATACTGAATAGTCCCTTGTGATCTGAGAGAAGCTGCCTGGTTAAGTTGTGCGGAAAGAGGAAAAAGTAGTCAGAAAGACACGGGGTTGAGAGGAAGGGGAGGGTAAGCCTCAGCTCAGTCCCTGGAAAGGACATGGGTCTCCTGGGCCCCACCCCGCTGGTCCAGCCTTTGGGACTTGTGGCACCTCTGACCTGGGGTTGCGGGACCTATGTCCAGGTGGCCCAGCTGCCTCTGAGCCTGAAGGACAATGGCTGGCACCACATCTGCATCGCCTGGACCACAAGGGATGGCCTGTGGTCTGCCTACCAGGACGGGGAGCTGCAGGGCTCTGGTGAGAACCTAGCCGCCTGGCACCCCATCAAGCCTCATGGGATCCTTATCCTGGGCCAAGAGCAGGTAAGGCTCAGGGTGGTATGGGGGCTTGAGGCCTGAGTAGGTATCATACTCACCCAGGGCCCCTGAGAAGGAGGGGTTAGGTAAAGGGACCCTGGAAGCACAGCAGTAATCAGTCTGACCCAGCCATTCTGCAGATGGGCAAACTGAGACTCAGAATGAGCAGTGACCAGCCCAAGGGGCTGGAACCTTGGGGACAGAGGGGGAAGCTTGGGGCAGGGCTAGAACTTTATGGGCGGGGCTTCAGCAGGACCTGGGGCCTGATTGAGTCTGTCTGCCTATCTTTCCTGATGGCTCACTCCATGTCTCTCTCTCTCCTTTCTCTTCTGCTCTCTTGGCCCAGGACACCCTGGGCGGTCGGTTTGATGCCACCCAGGCCTTCGTGGGTGACATCGCCCAGTTTAACCTGTGGGACCACGCCCTGACACCTGCCCAAGTCCTGGGCATTGCCAACTGTACCGGGCCGCTGCTGGGCAACGTCCTCCCCTGGGAAGACAAGCTGGTGGAGGCCTTCGGGGGTGCAAAAAAGACCACCTTTGATGTCTGCAAGGGGAGGGCCAAAGCATGAGGGGCCACCTCATCCAGGGTCCCTCCCTTGCCTGCCATTTTGGGGACCTTACGGTGGGGGCACACATTCCCTCCTCAGCCTACCCACACACTGGCCTTCCCTCCTGCCCTGCTCCTGGCCATGCCTCCCGTTTCCCCCACCTATACCCACACCTCCAGAATGCCCTGCCCTGCAGTGGCTGTCCCCTAACCCCACTTGGATGGGGACAAGCAGCTCAAGCCAACAGGTCAAGCTTGGGGTGAGTCCAGGGCCTGGTGGGGGGTGATAACAGTGCCCACAGCACTGTCCACCCTCTCGGCATCACACTGGAGCTGTCTTACCCCACCCACCCTGGCCCATCCACCACGTCTGATGCTACTGATCTCAACAGCATGTCCCATGGGGTCATGTATGGAGGAAGGGCCCACTATCTCAGTGGCAGGCGTGGCTGTCTGCCCCCCATCCCCCAAGCAACAGGCCTGGCCCCTTCCCCTTCAGGGCCACAACAAGCTCTAGAGCTGTCCCCCCAGCTGAGAAAGGGATGACAGAGACAGAGGAGACTCAGACTCACCCCTCCTCCATCTTTCCACCTGTTGCCAGTGAAGGGCAAGGGGATCTTGATGGAGCCTCCTGCACCCTCTCTCTTCCTCCTCCTTCCTCGTTTCTTTGTGTGCAGTGGTTTGAATGTTGGTTCCATGCCTGGCCCACCCCCACCTCAATTCCCAGGACATCTCCTTCCTGGCTCCAGCCTGAGGGACCAAGACCCTGGGAGGCCAAAAGGCCATAGTCACCCCTTGTGCCCACCCACATGTGTGCTAACTGGCAGGTCACCCCTCCTCCTCTGTGCCCAGGACAGGGCCTGGGTCACGTCAGCCTGGGCTGGGAGCAGCTTGTGACAGAGGCATGTGCCCAGGGGACCCAGGTTACAGCACAGCCACATTACCTAATCCCTCTGCATGGCCCCCGCAGCCTCTGGGGAAAGAAGGGAGAAACCGAGTGGGCAAAGAGGGGAGAAGCACGGAGTGGTGTACAGAGCACTGGATGAGAAGGAGCCCATGGTTCCTAGCCAGCCCAGCTGCTCACCTGCTGTGTAGCCTTCTGTAAGTCCCTGCCTTCTCTGGCTTGGCCTTCCTCATTTGTGAGCTGAGGCCCTTGCTTTGGTCATTTCTCCAGATCAAACGTGAGGTGGTCTGTGATTCCAAGTGGATCAGGTGGGGCAAGCCTGACGCTACCTAGGAACCAGGGCAGATCCTGAGAGTAGGCAGCAGATGGGATCTGGCCGGGCATGGGTCAGGGTCAGGAGCTGCCTCCAGAGAGTCAGGGGCAAGGGCAACAGGTAAGGCAGACCAACCTCATGCACAGATTGTAAAAACCAGCTTTTCTGGATCGCCCCCCCTCCAGCCTGGAACCCTTGCCCATCTGAGAGGGCTAAAGGCTTCCAGCTCCCCACCCTGAGTCCTCACCAGCTCCCCCAAGAGAGTGGAAGAATGTAAAAGCTGTAATGTAAAAGAATGAAAATACCCAGTCTGACTTCTTGCTTGTATAGATGGGGAAGAGCTCCGAGAGGTCAAGTGACTTACACAGGACCACACAGCACAATGTGGCAGAACCAAGGCTAGAACCCAGGGCTTCTGACACCCTCTTCAGTCTTCTTCCTCCCTACACCGTACTGCCTGCCCGTGAGTGTCTTTGAGTCCAGCCTTCACCTTAGAGGACAGACATTTTAAAGAGGTCAGAATGCTTTCCAACATGAACATCTTCCTTTATGAAACACACAAACATCTTGGCATCGAGACCCCCCCCACCACAGGAAGTAGAGGGAGGAGAGGGGTGATCCCCAGGCACTCTGGCAGGAATGGAAGGCAGGTGTTCCCTCTGCCAGTCACCTACCAGGTGTCTGGGCAGCTGCAGGCTACCTGACTCGAGCAGGTACCGGTGCCTTTTGCCCCGCTTTCTGTTCCCTGTCTCTGCTCCCTACCACCGCTTAACCTGAGGCAAGATGCAAGAGCTGCAGGCTGTGGGGCCCATTGCCATGGAGGCTTCTCCAAGACTTGTTGCCTCCAGCCCCCAGTTCCCTCCCTTGTTGCCAGTTCAAGAGCACAAATAGACCGTTCAGCACCACGGGCCCAACTCCCCCTAGAAGAAGAAGCGATGGCGTGCTTCAGCCAGAACCTGCTGAGACCAAGGTTGCCCTGGTAACAGCCAATGACATCAGCCTAAGTGCTGGGTCAAGCGTCTCTTAGACATATGCTGTTGCTGGGACGACAGCAGATTCAGAACCCAGATTCCCGGGACAATGGGCTTTATTGGGTTTCTGTTACCGGTTTTAAGGAAGCAGCTTTTGTGGAGGCCTTGGGGAAAGAAAGGGTCTAGGAGAGAACTGACAGAACTTGAGCCTACCCAGAGGCATCATCCCAAGTCCTTTACGCTTTGTCATGGTGACAAAGATGAGACATCTGACCTTGGTCCCATGCTGAGTCACCCTGGTCGGCCCTCCAAAGGGCACAGGAACAAATTAGAGGCGTTGAGGTGCAGACTGTGAGTCTGGGCCATTGGTGAGTGGCCTGGGTGCCCATTTCCATTCCAGGAAGGTGAAAGCCCGAAAGTCCCCACCCCTCCTTCATCCACTGATCGTTCTTCACCTTTGCTGAATGGCTGCTGTTTGGATGCCAGCTCGGGTCTTGTCTAGCTGCTCCTGGGCACAGCCAAGAAGACAGGGAAAGAGGAGCTAGAAATGGCGCTTGCTTGTGTCCCTGAGCTGCTCTGGCTAATGGTGATGCTGGAGCCTGTTTGTTCCATCTTTTTTAAATGTCAGGCACTGTGCTGAGCCCCTCATATCTCATTTATCCTCACAACACAGTCGTAAGCTGGGGCTGTTCTTAGCCCCATGATACAAGGGAAGGAACCGGGGCACAGAGAGGTTAAGTAACCTGCCCAGGGTCAGTCAGTTGGCAGGTGCTGGAGCCCAGACTTCAAACCAAGGCAGATTACAGCCAGGACCAAAGGGGCCAGCACCCCTACTCTCTGTGGAGTGGGACTTGAGCATCATTGCTCCCAATGGGTTTTTCCCTAAAGAGATGTGCTTGACCCCATTCACTACCCTCATAGGGTTGGTGATGGAGGAAGAGGCCTGGGATGGGCTGGCCCCAGGGCCGGGGTCCCCTTGGGGGAGGCCGTGGGAGGGGTCTCTGCAGTGTGCCCACCACCTCAGCCCTTCAACTGGCTCTTGTTTCCAGAACTCAAAGGTAAGAGGAAGCTGGACGGTCTCCCAAGAGGCCCAGGCCGGGAATGGGGGAGATGATCTTTCTCAAACTTCTGTTTTGGGTCAAGCCCTGCGCCAGGTGCTTCACAGCTCTTATCTGCCAGATTTTGCCCCCTTTGTGGCATGCTGTACCCCCAGTCAACATCCCGAGGGGACGGATCACCTTGCCACAATCGTGCATGACCTAGGACCACAGCTTTGGGCAGGAAGGTTTCTTCAGGAGGCCCTCCTGAAGCCTCATTTTATAGATGAGGATGCGGGGGCCCCGGAAGGGTGAGTGGCCCTTGGGGCCACCCAGCCAGGACACCTGGAGACCTGATCTCAGCTTTCTGACTCTCCACAACGCAGTGGTCCCTACCCGCCACCAAGAACTGGGTCCCTGGTTCCTCTCCATTTCCCAGCACCTTGCCCGGAGCAGACTGGAGAAAGGGTCCCCTCCCAAAGATGGGATCATTCTCTTCCCCTCTGTCCCAGCTGCCTGCCACCCCAAACCCCACCTCACCCCTGCTGGGTGGGGAAGGGGCTCTCGTGGACCCAGGCTGAGCAGTGAGTGAGCACGTCCAGCTGTCTGACACTGTGAAATTAGTGCACCCGCCCCCCCTGCCCAATTTTGTACATAAAGTGACATGAGATGCAACATGTGTGTGTGTGTGTGTATGTGTATGAGATGTGTCCTAGGTTTTGTTACTTTTTTGTTTTTGTAAATTTGAATGTTCAAAATAAACAATGTTTACTCTGAGGCTCTTCTTGCAAGGGTGGAGTTAGCCTGGGGGGTGTGGGGCAGGAAGGGGACGGCTACCTAGGGCAGGGCAGCAGAAAAAGACAGGAGGCGCCGTCTTGGTGCCCCGTAGCCTCACCATTTTGGCCTCTCAGACTGATCGTTCTGCCAGCTCCCAGGCACAGACATACCCCACTTCCCAGGATTTATGCAGGAAGGATGTAAAGAACACAAGTCCCACATGGAAAGTGTCCTAGTTCTGATAACTGGGTTTTGGCCTCATTCCCAACACCCCATCCCCACCTCGTGCCCCAGTTCTGGGAATCAGGTCCCTGACTTGTTCCCTGAGACCCAGTCCGCCTGAGTCACTTGCCTGGACCCCCAGAGTGTCACCTCCCTTGGGCCCTAGAGGCAATGGGGTAGGAGAGAGGGAGGGACTCTGTTGTATTTCAACCTGTCCCTGCTCCACAGTCTACCTGGACTCCTCTGACTTGTTTGGCCTCTCGGCTGGACTCTTTGACAGTGTAAGGGTCTGCTACCCCCACCCACCCCTGCAGCACCTGCCCTACCCCCGGGGAGGTCTTGATCTGGTCCCCAGCCCTCCCTGTCCACACCATCTTAGGGGCACAGCCTCTGCCATCCCATTAATACTGTTACTGCTCATAGTTGGACCGTGTCCAACCTTCACAGACAGCCCCTGTGAAAATGCCAGGGGGCCCGCGGGTCAGGGGGTCACACCGGTAGGACAGGCCTTCCAGAATTTTCGAAAGCTTCCCAAACTTCCCACCTAAGTGAACCTCACCCCATGAAGACCAGGGGGTATAGCTAGCTGGAAGCAGCACTTGAAACAGGGAAACCATATCTGAAGTGTACTGAGTTATTCGAAAACCTCGTGTGCTTTCTTCCTTCTCCAAAATGAACCCAGATTTGTTTTAAAATATTGCCTTTGATTACTTACCACAGAGCAAAATTAAGCTGCAGGCAATACACTTTGTTTATCCTCTCTCGCACTGATTTACTTACAAACACCCTCTCTCCCTCCATCCCATCAGCTGGCAATGTCCAACCCTGGTTTAATCCCTACCATCCACCTGCTTCATGTCAACACCTGCCCAGCTGAACCCTGATGCAGAAGAGCACAGGGCTCTGATGTATGTTGACTCTCATTTCAAATTCATGGCCAGAGATCTCCAAGGGGCATTTCTGCCTGCCCTACAATCTTAGCACTTGCCTTGTATGAGGGCTTGCTCTCCAAGT